AAAATATTTTGGGAATACTAAATCTAAATCCATAATACCTATAATCATTTGAAGTCTCTCTCTCTCTCTCTCTCTCTCTCTCTCTCTCTCTCTCTCTCTCTCTCTCTCTCTCTCTCTCTCTCTCTCTCTCTCTCTCTCTCTCTCTCTCTCTCTCTCTCTCTCTCTCTCTCTCTCTCTCTCTCTCTCTCTCTCTCTCTCTCTCTCTCTCTCTCTCTCTCTCTCTCTCTCTCTCTCTCTCTCTCTCTCTCTCTCTCTCTCTCTCTCTCTCTCTCTCTCTCTCTCGTACGCGCCATGATATTTGAGACACGCTGTTCTATTTAATGGACCAGATCAGTTACAATTAAACCACATGTAACGAAACGATCAAAAAATTGTAATATGTAATATAGTATTTTGTCCGTATATAGGCGATATGCCAATGTATAACGAACACGACAAACCATTTATTTTTAAACTTTTGTGTTGCATAGAGAAATGTTACCGGCTGTCCTGTCTCATATTTAAATTAAACAACCATAAAGTAACATGAATAGAAACTAAGTGACCTACATAAAACAAAAGCAAATTAAAATACGGCTCAGGGTTTCGAGTCGAATCGAATTTGATGCTAAGATACAGACTGAATGACAGGAAATAGACATGAAATGTACATTAAGATACGATTGCGTATACTTACATATGTGTACTCAGAGAGTCACGATTCTCCACATGTATATACGTCAATCGTTAAATTTTATTATTGTTCTTATCATTTAAGTAAGGTGTTTCCAGTTCCTGGTATCAATTTGATATAAGCACGAAGTTTTTCCCAATCCATCTGCAATATATGTATACGTAATATTGCTGAATATTGGATCCAATTTTTGTTTAAACTTAACTAAATACTTAATCTGCAACTATTTAGGATGAATAAACGTCTTTTCAACATCCATGTTCTGATAATGCTAATGCTTTGTAATTTCATAGAATTCATGATTGTTCAAATAATCTCTGTATTGGCTATGGCGACACTTCTTGATCCGCATATCTCAAAACTGCTGAAAAGTGATGTATCACACAATGTCGATGATAAATTAGGCTATATAAAGAGATATACGATTTGAAATTAACTCCTGGTCTGTATAAACTACTGTGGTGAACTGTCTGACCGCTCCAGACATATATTACGAATTACAAACGAAATACTCGGCGGATTTACAAGGCACACCGTGCGGAAACGGCGTTTGTTTCAAACATAAATTATTTCTTCCCAATATACCAGAAATAGCGCTCTCCCTTTGAATACGACAATAAAACATACTGTGAAATAGATAGACGTATTTTCGTATCTCCGGAACGGTCAACAGGTCAGGCAGACTCTTGCTGTCGATTCATTTAAGCGTCTGGAAGATCCAGACAATAGCGTGCTTTGTCTCTACAGCGGAAGCAACATTTTTTTGTGACTTAACGCAGATTTTTTTTTATCGCAATGCTGCCTTGTTGAAAAGAAATACAGTATCTTTGCTTTGATTTATACAATCCTACATTTCCGTACTCATATATCTATAGATACTCATATCATTTTGAAGCTTGGTTTTGAGAATCAACAGGGGTATAATGCGTGGCCCGCTGGGGCTTATCATTTTGATTTCCTTCACATTTCCGCACTGAATGACATAGTTATGTGATGTGTTGTTTTTCAGAACCCTTTGATCACGCGAAGTTTATAAGAAGATTATGGCTTCAAAGTTTGATATCAAAGCAAAATTCTCATAAACAATATCATCTGTTTACTATTTGGAGTTTGATCAGCTCAGGTCAATTTGTCAAATGTGTTTCTTGCCTAGCGGTTCGACTTAAAATATCATCACATCAACTGTGTTGTCATTTCATTAAAATATACCAATACAAGCGTAACAGTGATCGAACCGTCGTGCTATTTTTTTTCTTAACAATTTTCGCTATCATTGAAAACCTTGTGGTATTAAAACACTTCACATAATTAAACCCAAAACGTTATTATTGACGAACTCAGGGATAACGAATATCTGAAACGTTTATCAGTTTTCCGTCAGCATTAGACCTTTTTTAAAGAGATAGATGACAGGTACAAAATATATAACTAGAAATACTGACTTTGTCAATAACTTATAGTCTTCTGATAGCATGACTGTTAGAATTATGTAACTTATAAAGTGGATGGAACTTCTAAAAATAAAAATCAAGGGTTAGATACAGGTTACAGGTGGATTTCTATACATAGTACACAAAATTAAAGAGTCTCGAATTCAAAATATATGAGACACATGTTACAGGGGGTGAGTAACCTCCACTGGGCAGTGGCAGATGTTACAGGGAGTGTTGAGAAATATAGAATCGCGTTGTTGTGTTTTAATGGCTTCTACGATACAATATGTAATTATCAAATGAAAACGTAAATATTTTTTCTGAGTTACAGTAGAGCTCGGAACTATAAGATATTTTCGATACAGCGCTGTCGTCAACAACTCTTTTATCACAGTACAATAACAAAGCAAAAATTTCTCAATGTGTTAAAAACTTTTTTTATGTATATGTGTTAATATGTCACTTTTGATAAATTTATGAATATGTTTTGAAGAATTCCTAAAAGTGGATGGTAGTTTTATATCTCTGTCACCTGTTAAACTATCGGTTACATAGATCTGTGTAACTCCGCGTCAAGTGTTAGTCTCTAGCATATGCAATATCCGTAAACAAAGGATTCATGACTTAGAACCTGACGATCGATTTTTTTTTCTTTTATTTTCTTCTTCTTTAAAGTATTGACAAAATACCACAAGGGATTGTCTGGATCATTTCAGCTCTGTGACATCTCGTGTGCTGTAGGCAATTCTCGAGAGAGAGTTATAAATCCTGTTTATCAAAGCCGGTAGAAACATCAAAAACTGAATTTTAACACGTGCAATTAACTATTGGCCCTGGTCGTGGGAGATCCCCCACGACCGAGAAACGTTTGAGGCTTTCCTAAATTTCGATGTAAAATTATTTTGATAGAGTCCTTTTATATTGTTATCGATTGTTTCCTTTCAGCATCTTTACTTTGGTATCAAGTGTATGCTGCAGACCCCAAGGACAGTAAAGTCAACCAGGAGAGTTTCTTGTAAGTAAATAGATGTATGTCCTTATGTGTTTATTCTACTTTTTTTTCATCATCTCTTTTCACTTTTAATCATTTGTTTAGCTTCCACAATTAGTATTATACAAATGTTGTACACGATATCCATCGTGACGTCAGAAGTTTGCAATACATTGCAATTTCAGAAATTTTAGAAATGTACACTCAGGAAGACATAACAGGCAAGGAATTATTTATACATCTTATTTCACCACAAGAAGTATCACATTGAAGAAAACTTAAATTTGAGGATAAAAATATCTTTAACAGCACAATCTCATAATAAGATTTTCTTAAACCCAAAAATGATATAAAAATGTAATTTCGGTTCCTTTTTGCATGAACTCTTTTCACCTTCATAATGTCAGAATTCTGAAACTGGGGATAGATATTGTTACAACATGTACCATGAGATACTTAGCTGACTCAGTCAAGAGACGACACAGCGTGTAGCTTGGTATGTCAACATCCTGCCGTACATGAAACGGCAACACATTGGAAAGACAAGATGTGTTTATGAAACACTATGTCCGCGGTTGCAAAAAATTCTGAAGTGGGACGTTAAAACTGTACTGTGTAAGGCTTGTCCTAATTGCAGGCACACTTTGTGAAAGACTTATGTCTTTATGTAGCAATAGGCCAAATGTAGGTCAAAGGTCACGGTCAAACATTTTAATACATTGTACCACCGGAAACCTCTTGTCACATGGAACATACATAAAAAATAAGAAAGCCCAACCATCTTACGGTAAAATACATTGTAATTATGGGCAAGGTTAAAGTTGACAACAGACAAACAAACAGACAAATAAACAGACAAACAAACAGACAAACAAACAGAAAGCACAACAACAATATGACCCCGGATCTTTCTATCTGGGGACATAACATTGACTTTGAAATGGCGAAGATTTAAATGTATTAAATAGTTTGATCTACCAGAAACAATTACATCGTACGAAATTGTGTGTGGAGACCCAGTGATACTGCTAGTGTCAGATATAAAACAATATAAATGTAGTTATACCTCGTTATTCCGGCACCTGTATAGCAGGTTAACCTGTCTATTCTGTATGACACGATATAGACTGGATGAGCCAGGATGTCGGCAAGCAGATAACTACAAACTCTAATTTAGATATGGCAGTACCTTCTGCTGTAAATATTGAGTATATATATTTAACCCTTAGATATCGATTTATAAAGATTTTCGTTATATTGGAAATGTTTCTGAAGCGCGCGGTTTATTTTTTCAGACTACTACAACAAACGTTACTGGTAATACTTTTATTATCTAATTAATCAATTCTTCCTTCGAAACATTTTATGTCAAATAATGAAAGATGAAAGAACCTTCTGAACAACATGTTCTTTACAAAAACATTAGAAATTAAGTGAAATTTTATACAGAAATCAAAGAGAGCACTTGATGTGGGAGGTAACATCGTCACGATTATCTCACAGGCTGAGACAGTGTTACGTTTGAATGTTCCTCACAACCCGATCAGGGATAGATCAGGTCCACCGCGGAAACAAAATGCTTCTAGCCGCTTGGTCACATGTTCTAAGTCACGTCAAGCGGTCACGTGTTACTAATGGATTATACCTTGTAGTCATGCACGTGCGTCAAGTTTTCATCCCCTTGTCAAAGAAGCCATGTAAGTGAGTTTTATGGTCACGTGTTCGAAGATTGGGGGCTGTGGTCCCAGTTGGCGCCTCAAAGCTACATTGTCTAGCCTTGTGTGTCCATGACGCGTGTAACTTGTCTTTTAAAGAAGGAATCACTATTGTGCGTATTTGTTTGTTTGTTTTGCTATATATATATCTATATATACAAGTAGATAAAATAATTACGAATTCATACCTTAGGTGCAGATCTAAAAATGTCGTTAAACTCGAGTTTTCCTTTTTTAAGAATATCCACAAATGGACCGATTCTCATGTTTTCGAAGAAATAATCTCTACCTTCCGATACAGGGATGTATGTGTTGTTTTGTACTGATGGTGTCTACCTTCCGATACAGGGATGTATGTGTTGTTTTATAGTGATGGTGTCTACCTTCCGATACAGGGATGTATGTGTTGTTTTGTAGTGATGGTGTCTACCTTCCGATACAGGGATGTATATGTTGTTTTGTAGTGATGGTCGGTACCTTCCGATACAGGGATGTATGTGTTGTTTTGTAGTGATGGTGTCTACCTTCCGATACAGGGATGTTTGTGTTGTTTTGTAGTGATGGTCGGTACCTTCCGATTCAGTGATGTATATGTTGTTTTGTAGTGATAGTCGGTACCTTCCGATACAGGGATATATGTGTTGTTTTGTAGTGATGGTGTCTACCTTCCGATACCGGGATGTATGTGTTATTTTGTAATGATGGTGTCTACCTTCGGAAAACAGGGATGTATATGTTGTTTTGTAGTGATGGTGTCTATCTTCCGATACAAGGATGTATATGTTGTTTTGTAGTGAAGGTGTCTACCTTCCGATACAAGGTTGTATGTGTTCTTTTGTAGTGATGGTCTCTACCTTCCGATACCGGGATGTATGTGTTGTTTTGTAGTGATGGTCGGTACCTTCCGATACAGGGATGTATATGTTGTTTTGTAGTGAAGGTGTCTACCTTCCGATACAAGGTTGTATGTGTTCTTTTGTAGTGATGGTCTCTACCTTCCGATACAGGGATGAATGTGTTGTTTTGTAGTGATGGTCGGTACCTTCCGATACAGGGATGTATATGTTGTTTTGTAGTGATGGTGTCTACCTTCCGATACAGGGATGTATATGTTGTTTTGTAGTGAAGGTGTCTACCTTCCGATACAAGGATGTATGTGTTGTTTTGTAGTGATGGTCTCTACCTTCCGATACAGGGATGTATATGTTGTTTTGTAGTGATGGTGTCTACCTTCCGATACAGGGATGTATGTGTTGTTTTGTAGTAATTGTGTCTACCTTCCGATACAGAGATGTATGTGTTCTTTTGTAGTGGTGGTCTCTACTTTCCGATACAGGGATGTATGTGTTATTTTGTAGTGATGGTGTCTACCTTCCGATTCCGGGATGTTTGTGTTGTTTTGTAGTGATGGTGTATACCTTCCGATACAGGGATGTATATGTTGTTTTGTAGTGATGGTCTCTACCTTCCGATACAGTGATGTATGTGTTGTTTTATAGTGATGGTGTCTACCTTCCGATACAGGGATGTATGTGTTGTTTTGTAGTGATGGTGTCTACCTTCCGACACAGGGATGTATGTGTTGTTTTGTAGTGATGGTGTCTACCTTCCGATACAGGGATGTATGTGTTGTTTTATAGTGATGGTTGGTACCTTCCGATAGAGGGATGTATGTGTTGTTTTGTAGTGATGGTGTCTACCTTCCGATACAGGGATGTATGTGTTGTTTTGTAGTGATGGTGTCTATCTTCCGATACAGGGATGTATGTGTTATTTTGTAGTGATGGTGTCTATCTTCCGATACAGGGATGTATGTGTTGTTTTATGGTGATGGTCGGTACCTTCCGATACAGGATGTATGTATTGTTTTGTAGTGATGGTGTCTACCTTCCGATACAGGGATGTATGTGTTGTTTTGTAGTGATGGTCGGTACCTTCCGATACAGGGATGTGTGTGTTGTTTTGTAGTGATGGTCGGTACCTTCCGATACAGGGATGTATATGTTGTTTTGTAGTGATGGTCGGTACCTTCTGATACAGGAATGTATGTGTTCTTTTGTAGTGATGGTCTCTACTTTCCGATACAGGGATGTATGTGTTATTTTGTAGTGATGGTGTCTACCTTCCGATACATGGATGTGTGTATTGTTTTGTTGTGATGGTCGGTACCTTCCGATACAGGGATGTATGTGTTGTTTTGTAGTGATGGTCGGTACCTTCCGATACAGGGATGTATGTGTTGTTTTGTAGTGATGGTCGGTACCTTCCGATACAGGGATGTATGTGTTGTTTTGTAGTGATGGTGTCTACCTTCCGATACAGGGATGTATGTGTTGTTTTGTAGTGATGGTTTCTACCTTCCGATACAGGGATGTATGTGTTGTTTTGTAGTGATGGTCTCTACCTTCTGATACAGGGATGTATGTGTTGTTTTGTAGTGATGGTCGGTACCTTCCGATACAGGGATGTGTGTGTTGTTTTGTAGTGATGGTCTTTACCTTCCGATACAGGGATGTATGTGTTGTTTGGTAGTGATGGTGTCTACCTTCCGATACAGGGATGTATGTGTTGTTTTGTAGTGATGGTCGGTACCTTCCGATACAGGGATGTATGTGTTGTTTTGTAGTGATGGTCTCTACCTTCCGATACAGGGATGTATGTGTTGTTTTGTAGTGATGGTCGGTACCTTCCGATATAGGGATGTATGTGTTGTTTTGTAGTGATGGTCGGTACCTTCCGATACAGGGATGTATGTGTTGTTTTGTAGTAATGATCGGTACCTTCCGATACAAGGATGTATCTGTTGTTTTGTAGTGATGGTTTCTACCTTCCGATACAGGGATGTATGTGTTGTTTTGTAGTGATGGTGTCTACCTTCCGATACAGGGATGTATGTGTTGTTTTATAGTGATGGTCGGTACCTTCCGATACAGGGATGTATGTGTTGTTTTGTAGTGATGGTCTCTACCTTCCGATACAGGGATGTATGTGCTGTTTTATAGTGATGGTCGGTACCTTCCGATACTGGGATGTATATGTTGTTTTGTAGTGATGGTCGGTACCTTCCGACACAGGGATGTATGTGTTGTTTTGTAGTGATGGTGTCTATCTTCCGATACAGGGATGTATGTGTCGTTTTGTAGTGATGGTCTCTACCTTCCGATACAGGGATGCATATGTTGTTTTGTAGTGATGGTGTCTACCTTCCGACACAGGGATGGACAATGTGATTTGGAGATCTCGGGGTAATATCTTAATTTTGACAGAATGGCCAGTTGGTGATTTTAGTGACATTCGTCAGAGCATAGTCGTGCTGGAGCCCACGAAACATTTTAAATCGACGGCTAATTCAGACGTGGTCGATTCGATTGGCGTTTTATATATTTTTGATATCTTGATGTACACTCGCCTAAATGTCTGAACCGATTTGTTGATTGGACTGGCATGTCGTACATTTTTAACGTTGTGCTTTGCCGGGAATTCTGTCTGATAACGGAAAACGGATTACCTGTTGTGCTATTCATCATCTCATTAACAAGTCCACAGGCTGTGTCCACAAACATGTAAATATATGACGATTTCCAGTTCATGTATCGTTACATAATTCTAGATACATAAAGAGTTTTACATGTTTGTACAAATCAATTAAATCTAAATGAAAAACAAAACAAAAACAATTATTGTCATGTTACCAGGTGCAGTCGCCATACCTTTTGTTCTGCAACAGACAAAACTCGTGAAAAACAGACCTGCATTATCGATCATGTCAATCAGAATATTGGAAAAATCGATCAAATTTAATCAGTGTCTGAGTACAAATTACATTTTTAATGAATGAAATATTTATCTTCATGATAAACCTCGAAAACGTTAGCACATTATTACGGAGTAGATTATACCCTGTGATAGGAGTTCTTTGAAGCTGTAAGTATTCCGGTAATACTTGACTAAACTATCAGGTATTTTTGTAGTGTACAAAAACACGGCTATTTATCATAGGGATAGAAATTCGGTCGACACGGAACCCATTCGAGCTCATCTCCTCACTAGATGTACTGGATAGGTCCATACACTCGCGCGAATTTCTTAAATATTTAATTTGAAAGTCGGAGTTTCCTCTACTAGCTGCAGATGAAGCCCACTTCTGTTCGGCATTTCACGTCTTGTTTGATAAATTTCTTTACACCATTCGGAACACTTCTTTACTCGGCATTGCTTTGTTTCCAGAAAGGCGCGATACGATCGAACATGCCCATTGCAGACAAACAAGCAACCTTTTCCCGATTTTGACTGCATGGTTTCAAACACAATGTGTAATTCAGAACTTAGTTAATTAACTTTCTGTTGAACCTTTCCCCATTAACAGCCGGTTATAGTACATGTTCAAGTACACCTTATTTTATATGTCTCAATATCGTGCTTCCCCAATGAGCGTAACTAAGCTGGGTTACTCGTGGGTGATATGGACCTAAATTTATCATCCATAAATATAAAAGAACTTTCTCCTGGCAAAACAGAAACTAAGATATCTTTTGATTGAACTTGAGAATAGATTAGGGTCTTTTCATATTTATTTTAATTCACTGTTTGTTTTATTCATAAGCCATAAAAATAAGGTGATTATTAGAGGTTATTTTTATAGAAATATTCAACATCACTTCCGTTCATCTTATACAGCTATTTACGGAAGTATGACGAAGGAAGTAATTGTTGAATCAAAGATCCGGAATTCATCTTCTGAGAGCATTTTACAACATGAATGTTTTCCATAAATCTCAGCCATAAATGAGGAATGCATATTTTTATTCTTGTTTCCTTGTTACTCTTGAGAATTTTATGACAAATGTAAGGAAATTAATTGTACGCTTATTTTCCAAAAGCAATTTTATAGGGGATTTCGGAGTAACGTACTTAATATCGCTTAGAAAGAAAGTCACTGAGATAGACCTGACGTATTTTAGTTGTGAAATATCTTTCTGATAACACTTTGCCCTTGTGCTCTGCGAGAGCGTCATCTCATGGACAACCGCTATAAGGGACCCCCCCTCCCAGGGCACACACACACAGGCACACCCATATCAGTAAATGCCTGCATCAAATATAGATAAAAGAACAATTCCCACCAGAAAAATGTCACGTGATATAGAACACACACACACACACACACACACACACACACACACACACACACACACACACACACACACACACACACATTCGGCATAAAGTTCTTACTAAAATGAAACATGAACGGTAGTTTTGGTCC